GGAAAGAGGGGTACTTTTTTTGGTAAATGTGTACTGCAAGAATGTGAATGCAACCCTTATGATCCCTCAAGTAAGCCGAGAAATCAGCCCCAATCTTATCCCGGCTGGCCAGAGCATGGAGAAGGGAGGCTCAGTCAGCACACCGGCTCCTGCCTTCCTCTGGCTGGCTGGAGCATGCTTACTTTGGGGATCATGGTGAGCACTTTTGCACCCTTCGCACACACCCCGCATTCAGGCCTGAAAAGTCAGAAAAAATTATGAGTTTAAGTCCCCAACCCCCATTTGCACTTCAGCTGCCTACGATGCATCATTGAGCATATAGCTACACATATTTGTTGACTAATAATTAGAAGCAAAAGGTCAATGCTGCTGTGGCGGCACATCGGGGTTCCCCTGACTCCTGCACCCCCGTAATGGCACGAACAGACTCCACCAGCCAGTAGAATATAGAGGGAGTTTATTGCTTCTCCAGGATACAGCACAGCCTAGATGTAATCTGGTTACAGGGCAGGCCTAGGATGCCTCAGCCCCTCTTGAGAGGGGGGAGACTGGGCCCCTAAATCCCAACCCCTTGCTTAGGCTGCTTCCTCCATGATACCAGACAGAAACTAAAAACTCTCCTCCAGCCCTCCCCCACAGCCAGGGGTTGGTCTCTGCCCTTCTCCCTTTTTCTGACTCCCTGGGAGGCAACTGGTCAGACAGGTTGTGAGACCCTTACCTAGTGACTCATCCACTGTCCTGCTAGGCTGCGCTACAAATAGCCGCCAGTGGAGGTCACCCACAGCCCACTGCCCAGCATAGCAACCAGCACTACATCACAACTGTTAGATGGAGAGAGTTTGAGGATTTTCTCCAATGCTCCCCAACAGGGATGCAAACGACTAATCGACTATCCAATAAGCAAATGCTTATTGGTTAGTCTATCAGAAAAAGGCAACAAAGAGGAGTGGGGGGATAAGGGGGGATCCTTCAAAGCAGCAGCGCTGCATGGAGCCTGGGGTAGACCCTGGGCTCCACATGGCGCTGCCACTTTGAAATGTTGTGTGCAGCCCAGAGCCAGCCGGGAGTCCCCAGCTAGCCTGGGCTTCACACGGTGTTGTAAAAGTGGCAGCACCACGTGGCGCCCAGGATCAGCAGGGGACTGACCCCAGGCTCCATGCAGCACTGCCGCTTTGAAACACCACAGGGAGCACAGGGCTAGCAGGGAACTACCTGAGTCCCCTGCTGGCCCCGTGCTCACCGCAGCACTTTTGCCTGTTGCTACACTTCCAAGGCGGAAGCATCCTTATCGACTAATTAAATAGTTTATGCAAATTGCATCAACTATTCTATTAATAAAATAATCAAAATTTTACATCCCTACTCCCCAATCTCATTCTCCATCCATTTTATTACAGTTTAAATGTTATTAAAATAACTGAAATCGGTTTGATTATATTACATTATTTTAAGAAACAAAATATGCAGAATTTTAAAATATTATGCAGATAACTTATTTTTTTGGTACAGAATTCCTCCAGGAGTAAAAGATGTAGCATTCTGGAAGTCTTTAGTATCGTCTGTGTGTTAAACATTTATGTTTTCCATTTGGGGACTGCCATGAAGAGCAGGTGCCACTGGAATCCCAAGCATTTATCTTCCCTCCCATTAGTCACTTCTATCCTGGCAGCAGTGGCAGGGAGAGGCTGAACTGACTGCAGAGCTAAGAGATGGAATTGGGGATGAAGAGATTAAGAGTCTCCAGGTTAATGTAATATTTTCGGCAGGCAAAAAAAATGGCCAAGGAGAGAGGATCTATACTTTAGTTGAGGGGTTCTCAACCTTTTTCCTTTAGAGGTCACCTCAACATGCTATAAAAACTCCACAGCCTCTCTGTGCCACAACTGTTTTTCTGCACATAAAAGCCAACACCAGTGCTAGGGATTAACAGGGAGGGCAACTGCCTGGGGCTCCGCAAAAATTAATTGCTCAGGATGTGGTTTCAGCCCTGCATGGTAGGACTTTGGCTTTCTGCCCTGAGCCCCAGTTAGCTCTGCTTGGTGGCGCCCTAAAATACACTCACAGCCCCCCCCAGGAGTCCTGGACCCCTGGTTGAAAATTAATGTCCAGTCATCTATTTTTGATCTCCGGTAACCAGACTACTTCTGCCTTTACTAGTGGTAACTAGGGATGTTAAAATTTGTTTATTCACATAAATGTGTAACCACTGAAAATTTCAACAGTTACACATTTATGTGTTGGGGTGAGGGGCTGGGGATACAGAGGCAGCGGCGTGGGGGCTGAAGGGCCTGCATGTAACCATGCACGTTAACAGATAAGCATTTATCAGTTAACTGCATACATGTTCACATCCATAGGGGTAACTTGCACTCTTAACTATCATGGCTGTAGCGAGTAAGACAAGTTGGACGGAGTCCTTTTTATTTCAGTCCCCAGATCTCCTTCATCCCGTCTTTGCACATAGTAAAACAACGACCAATACAATCACTGTCAGGAAGGCCCTTCTTTTCCCAATAACGACTTTGTTGCCATGACTTGCCTTTGTCAGACAATCTTTAGATTCTGGTAACACCCCCTCTTGATAATCTGCTGGCTCATGCTTGCTCATTATCAGGCTCTTGGCAGTTAGCTATAATCACAAATGGCTCTCTGGATCCCTTATTGAAACCCAGTTCATGAAAAGGGCAATTAACTCAGCTGGCACATGTACAAATATCTGCTCAGTCTTTGTTATGATGCATCTTCAGCTTTCACAGCGCATGGACACCTTTCAGTGCATAACCTGGCAAGCTTCTCACACGTGTTGGTGTAAACCTGTTAGTTCTGACTCCATGTGATTTGATTTGCAGTCTATTACCCACGCAGGGACTTTTCATTGTCTCAGCCCATCTTACAGATCTAAAGCTTTCACTGAAGAAGATTTTATTGGAAGCCAAGAAGATTCCTGAACTCTTTTACTTGGTATCTCTCAGAAGTGGATCCTAGCAGTACACTACATGCTATCATTAAAGTCGTATACTTCCTAGCGCTCAGTGCAAGTAAGGTGCTTCCTGTTGATTTGCCCCTAGATTAGAAGCACAGAACAGTCACTGACAGGTAAAACGTAGTAATGGAGATGAGAAGACCAAATAATCTAGGATAAACTTAAACAACAAATAGTATGGTAGCACTTTAAAGATTAACAAAACATGTAGATGGTATCATGAGCTTTCGTGGGCACAGCCCACTTCTTCAGTTGACCCAGTCATGATAGCTGTTCCTTTGAATTTGCACTTGGGAAGGAAGTCATATTATGCACTCTTGTAGTTCAGTCAGATATACAACAGAAAGAGCACTGCATTAGGAGTCAGGAGACCTAGGTTGTCTTCCCAGCTCTGTCATCGGCCTGGTAAGTGACTTTGGACACCTTAGTTTAGCATTATCCACTCCAGGAGATGGGGATAATACTTTTTGCCTCCTTTATAAACTGCTTTGAGATTTATGAATGAAAGTTGCTACCTAAGAGATAAGAAGCAGTACTGATCTCAGGCAGTTCAATCTATGAATTCTACAATGCATATAAAATGCCTAGGATGACATTTTTGTGTGGATACAAATCGTCTTACAGGCACGAGAACAAAATGAAGCAAAGCTTTTTGTCTAGCACAGAGGTGGACAGTTTTTAAAAAAAACAAAAAAACAACAAAAAAAGGCAGTGGCCTGGCAGGCTGCCATCACTATGTGTTCCTGAGTCTCAGCAGGTATCATGTGATCACAGCTCTCACAGATCACCATTCACAGCCAATTACAGAAGTGGGAAGCAGCACAGACATAGGCACTGCTTCCTGCCACTTCCATTGGCTGCTAACAGCAATCCGCAGCCAATGAGAGCTGCGACTGCATAGGCACAGGTAAACTTAGAGGTGGAAGCCTGCCAGGGACTAACCTTGGCATACTGGATCTGGCCTTTGGGCCGATATTTGCCCAACCCTGGTCTGGCACATTGAGAGTCATGAGGGAAGAGGAATAGAAATATACTTGTGGCTTTTTTCCCCCATAAATGTAAAATTAAGTCAATTTCTTAGTATTTATTCTGTTAAACATTTCTATTTCTTATTAGTAAGCATAGATTAAAAAGTTTTTCACTTTCATCATTAAATTTTGTCAGTTAAAGGAATCATATTTCAAGAAGTCACATTTTATCTATGTGATCTAGAAAATTGGTAATCTGATGAAAAGCATGTGTGCACTGACAATTTTATGTGTAACCTCAAAATAGGTGACCTGCATTATTATACCAAATAGGTTTATAGTTGTACACCTCAGACAGCTAGATAATATTTATGAAGTAAAGTGAACAGCATGAAAGATGTTCTGTTCAACCAAAGAAATTAGAAGTTGGAGAAGAAAGTACAATGTATTTTTCAAGGAAGTAGATCAAAGTTAGAGTCAGACAGGTTAACTTCTAATTCCTTCAAAATTCCTCAGTTAAAAAAGTGTTCATCACAGGTCTTGAAATTAATGTTTCTAAATCACATTAGAATATGCACATCAATAAAATATGAGATGCTCTCTGTGGCAGTACTTCTAAATTCTAGTACTAAATAGAGATTTGCCTTCTCACTCTACAGTTATATGCAGCACTCCATCATAAAAAACAACGCTAAGGTCCTCCTGCTGCACGGAGTATGTACTGGAAGGATAACCGGTACAGAAAAATTGTTAGATGTTGTATAAATTACCATTTTACTTGTAGTTAAAGAGGAACAACACAGAGAGTCACAACAGACAGCGTATGGTTATCGTTGCCTCAATATTTCTATATTTTCATATTCCATAATGTGATCAAATTGTGGTGGTAAAATAACCTCTTAGTAAATAATCTAATATAAATTTTGCTAGAGTCCTAAGACAAAAATGAACATTTATGTCTCAGCAACAACATACAACAGTTTCATATTAGCTTAGTTGTAAATATAGAATTGACTGAATGCAACTCACACAAGTAACATTTTTCTCACCTTAATCTGAATGATGAATTGAACCTTGGTTGTGACCCACCATTTTCATACAGTTGGATGTGCTGCTGATTACTAGCATGCTCCTTCCAGCTTATACATATGGAGTTCCTCACAGACTGGGAGTTCTTTTGCTCCTGGATCCCTTCTTCATCTTCTAACCCACTAGAGCCACCTACTAATGCTTGGAGAAACTTCTTGAATCTGACCAGTACATTTAGCCTCCACTGCTGTGAAGTTACTCTGCGGTTAGGATTAACAGACAGCATCCAAGATATTTTCTCTCTACTTTTCAGGTTTTTTGATAACTGCTGGTGAGAAATAAGCTCTACAAAATTCTTCAGCAATATACTACAGCGATTAGTAAGGAGGACTGGGTACTCCTCCAACAAGATGTCCAAGACCTTCAAAGAATCCTCCTGAATTCCTTCACTGATGTGAGTCATGGCACTGGAGAGATGGGCACTTACTAAAGGAAAAAATGGAGCAATCTGTTCTGCTCGGATTTTTGGAGCCAAGAATTGAAGGAGCCGGATTGCTGCTACTCTGACACCAGAATCCTTGTCTGTAAACACAGCCGCCACCTCACTTAGTATATTTGAAAGGTGTGCATCAATTATAAATGGATACTGGGACAGCAGTTCTTTGAGTCCAAGAAGAGCACTTTGCTTAACCCCAGCACTATAGTGGTGCATTTGTGAAAGCAAATCCTACAAGAAAAGAGATACACATATTAGTTATTCCTACAAAATCTTTAAACAGCTACATTCTTTAGTATTAAGCTGTTCTTAAGATGATTAGGTATAGAAACTGCTTTAATGGACTGTATCATTTCTAACACGTGCTTAATAATTTAAGATCTAAAAATGCTTTGTTTTAAAATATAGGAGAAAACAAGTCACCCCCTTCCTAATGTAACAATTTCATAGTTCGCTATTTAGGTATTTATATGACCTTTATAATCATACCCTCTGAATGCCTGCCAAATTAATAATGGCAAACAAGACTCAAGAGCTGGCGTTTGCCAACTATGAATGCACAGCTGCTTTTAAGGCATACCCAGCAGACTTATTTCCTTGAAGGTGGCTCCGCATCTCAAGTGGAAGGGCTAGAGTTAAGGAAAGGAAGATGGTGTGAAAGCTTCAGTAATTTTCTGCAGTATACTTTGGAAAATATACTGAATTAAGTCTAAGAATTTTTGAGATTCAATATTTTAAATGAATCATTAATGAATTATTGTGGCCTGAATTGTATGCCACCTCTAGAAGATGGAAAGATGACAAATGAGGAAGTTGGACTATACTGGTTTAAGGACTATATTGAATAATGCGTCACACAAAAATGGATTTTTGGAAAAGAAAAAGTTAACTGGTCTTCCTGATGATTACCTAGTGAGAGGTCAATGCAAACTCCCCAGCTCCAGTTACGCAAAAACCCAGTCTATTGAAGTTATGCCCTGAAGATTGGATTTTGTCTGCTGATCACCTTTTACTTGAGATCAAGATCATAAGCCTAAGCTGTTCAAAAGAAAGACTGACTACTCAAAAATAGTTCTGATTCTGAATCTGATACAATTATGGACTTGTAAGCATGGATAAAATCCAGTTGTGTGTTTGGAATGATTGACACATACCAGAACCCAAGGTTGGAGTTGGAATGACGCCAGTAAACTTTGTAGCAGAGGTGTAGGTTCTTTTATCATTTTAATGCTCTCTCTGTAATGCTTTCACAATAAGTGTAAATGTACTTGCTTAGAATGAGGTACATATTTACATGTGATAGCTTGTATTGCTGTTAATTAAAGCAGTTCATAGCCTTTGGAGAAAAAGCAATATGCATAGTCTGTCCTGCTTAGGTGGTCTGGATTACTAGAGATATCACACTGTAGGGCAGGAAATATTGCAGCCTGGAAAAACCCCTATTGAGAGGAAGTGGCAGATCTTTACCCAAGAGAGGTGACATTTGAGGAGCTTGAAGACAAAAGCAGGTGGCCTTGGTAGATCAGGGAGGAGGAGTACAGGTACAGTTCCCTAGAGACTTTGACAGATGAACTTAGGGAATAGCAAGCAGATGTATAATTAAGAACATTTTCAAAAAAAAGGAAGCTAAAGTTAAATACAGCTTTAGGAGACTAAGTTTTAAAACATATGCCTCTGGACAAACCAACAATGTAACACCAAGACTTTAAAATAAATGCCTTGATTTAAACTTCTCAAACAACAATTAAATTCGGGCTCTGCCTTAAGTTAATAGCTCATCCAAAGACTCAAGCCACTACCTAAGCTGCACAAAACTCCATAGTTCCGCATTTGTAGAGTCACACATGGATACAAATGATCCACCGATATCCGCAATTCACATCTGTGGATGCGGATATCCATGGATATCCATGGTTTTCCAGAGCTCTAAGCATCTGTTCAAGGTCAATGGAATAGAGTTCAAACACAACTTTAAAAAATCATAATCAATTATCTAATGAGCTATATATATTACAATCACTGCTGAAATGTTTACCCTACCATACCTTTATGTTAAGTTTTCTATTGTTTGTTGGAAGTATTCCATCCTCTTTAAGCTGTTCAGGAAGAAATATTGCCTTTGTTTTGAAGTTTGTATCAGTTGCATTTTCTAGTCTAGGCTTCTTTTTTCCAACTTTTAGCTTCACCTTTTGGAAATCCTCTTGGTGTTTCCTCTTCTTAGTCATTTTGAATCTCTGCAGAAAGGCGTTTAAAATATTATTAAACACTGCACAATCAAATAACAAGGCAAAACAATGTTTATTCTTCTCAAGATCTGGCTTCTGGAATAATTTACTGCTCTTTAAAGCAGTGGTTCCCAACCTTTTTTAGAGAGCAGACCAGCAAATTCATCCAAAAACTTTTTGGTGGACGGGCACTGACTTATTTGCATATTTGTTATGGAGATTGAGTTATATGCATATTCATTATGGTAATTGCTTTTAAGCGGTCACATGCTATTTTACAGTGCTCCTGTATGCACACAACCAAAAATAAGAACAGTGTTTTCTTGTAAAAAAACATTAATGACAGCACAGGATAGGTAGTGGGCTCTTAATCCTCATCACAGCAAAATGCATCCAGGAAAAAAAAAAATCAAACTGCAGCATGCATGAATGAGTGACAGCTTTGTGGATATAGGACTGACAGGGCTGGGGTAGTCATGTGGACTTTATCAGAGAAATAAAGATGGTGAATTCTTGAATTGTAATGCCAATATTATAAGGAGCTCTTCAAATATACAAAATGCAGATGTTGGGATAATAAAAAAATGTGTACTGCATGTCAAAATCAAGGAAGTTCCTTGCTTTTTGGATTCCTTGAACCCTGATTTCCCTTGCTTCCCTCGCATGAGAAGCCCCCAAAATTGAAAACTACTTTTTCCTCAGAAAAAAAATCATTTCCAGGCAATAAAAACAGAAGAAATCCCAGGTGGCAGCACTAGCAAGACTATTAAAATGCGACTAAAGTCTCATTGACTCAGCTTCTAAAGGTTTTGTTTTAAATAATTTTCTGTAATATCAGGCTGCGTCTAGATTGGCATGATTTTCCGGAAATGCTTTTAACAGAAAAGTTTTCCGTTAAAGCATTTTCGGAACAGAGCGTCTAGACTGGCACGGACGCTTTTCCGCAAAAAGTGTTTTTGCGGAAAAGCACCCGTGCCAATCTAGATGCGCTTTTCCGCAAAAAAGCCCCGATCACCATTTTCGCGATTGGGGCCTTTTTGCGGAAAACAAATCTGAGCTGTCTACACTGGCCCTTTTGCGCAAAAGCTTTGCGCATAAGGGACTTTTGCCTGAACGGGCGCAGAATAGTATTTCCGCAAGAAGCACTGATTTCTTACAGTAGGAAGTCGGTGCTTTTGCAGAAATTCAAGCGGCCAGTGTAGACAGCTGGCAAATTTTTCCAGAAAAGCAGCTGATTTTCCGGAAAAACTGGCCAGTCTAGACACAGCCTAAGTGTTTATTTTCTGAGTTATCAGACTCCCATTTACTCATGTTGAAATGTGCATTCCTGACCCTGGAGCCAGCAGCTGGGTATTTCTACCCACTGCTTTTGGAGACACTCAGTTTCTGAGCACTCAAGCCCCTGACAACCACCCATCACACATATAAAGTTTAAATTTCTTGCCTCTACCCAGCTGTTCCTTGGGCCACAGCAGTTGAAGGGATGTAGGACAATAATTAATACAGCACTAACTGTAGCCAGCTATTTGTAAGGCAATTTATTAACTTTAAAATAACAAGTATTTTTTACCTAGTAATGTATGGGAGGAGGAATTTAGCCCACAGAAATCATGCCTGGCCACTGGACCCTGGAGCAGCAAGAGACTGCAGCCTTCAGGTTCATGAAGGGCTGCTGACTGGGAGCTGCCTAGGTAAGTGCCTCCCAGCCAGAGCCTGCCTCTGGCACCTACATCCCCAACTACCTGTCCCAGGCCACCACTCAAACTCTCTGTACCCCTATTCCCCAGGTCACAACTCCCTCCCAGATCCTGCACCCTCTCCTACACCCTTCACCCAGGCCAGAATTCTTCTGGCACCCATGCCCCCTCCCTGCCCTGCACCCCATTCCCCTGCTCCAAGTCATCATCCAAACTCTCTGCACCCCCTTCACCGAGGGCATAAATCCCTTCCAGACCCCGCACACCTGCCTAGAGCCCCTCCCTCAGACCAGAATCCTCTCCTGCACCTATACTCCTTTCTGGACTCTGCACCCCAAGCCTCTGTCCCAGATCACAACCCCCCTCCTTCACCCAACCTCCCGCTCAGACGCTACGGCCCCTCCTACACTCTAGTCTCCTACCCCAAGCTTCCTTTTACATCCAACCTCTGTCCCAGACCCCAAACTCCCTTAGTAGAACCACTTGCCAAAATCTTGGAGTGGTCCCCCATTAAAAATTATTGCCCACGCCTGGGTTAACCGTTCACATGCATACACTGTTACACCCCTATTTGGAATCTCTTTACCCTAACTGGAGAGCAAGTCTAATGAACACTGTGAAAGAATCCCCAATAAACTGGGGCCATTTGAAGTGCACACTTATTACTGGTGCAGTTAAAGGCCAACCCACAGTTTCCTTGAAATGTATCTATGCCACATGGAAGTACATATTTGTAAAGATCATCCCCAGACCTACTTTTAAAAGAAAACTAGGCAAATAAATGGATAGGAATGCAACAATAAGGTTGTAAATTAAAAATCATAAAAGAAAAGCTTCCACAGCAATGTGTAACTTAGCCAATTGTGATTTTTAACTGTGCATTAAAAAGTCCTTGAATTATATCAATTTTAGAAAAGTAGATGTTACTGGCATATACTTATCTGATGAAAGTTTATCCAATGAAAAGGTAAACAAGTACTTCTGCTGCAGAAGTAATGGCAAGCACTGGTTAAATTCACTTCTGCTAATACAGTTTTCTGAGCAACACGACAGGAATAGGGTTATTTGTTTAACCGTTTTAACTGTGGGTTGAGTGCCCAGCCAGCTGCTCAACCCTGCCGTAGCAGTGGGATCCCAAGTCTGGTCCCGCCATCTAGTCCGCCAGCCCCTATGAAGCCAGGAGTGCTCCAGTCCAGCTGCCCCACCACCTAAAGGCATTGGTGGAGGCCATTTAACTGATAGGCTTACCAGTATGCTTAACAGTTAACCATTTTAACATCCCTAGACAGGAAGTGTAGAAATTTGTATTTCCAACACGCCTTGGACGAGAGGTACTCATCTCAGGTGATCTACTTAACCCAATCCTATATATGCCACCCCAACCATGGACATTGTCAAACATCCTCAGCTGCAACTTCTGCAACTCAGTTTGCTCATCCCAGGATATTACTAGTCACCTTAAAATTTTGTGATGACCTACAAGCGTCAAGTTGAAAAATTAAAAATAGTTAAATAGCATACATTAAGTTCAAAACTATATTACAGGGGATTTAATAGCAACCCTTATATTTAGGTGCTTAGTCTTTTCTGTTACAAAAGATTCTTTGGACTTTTTTCTGAGAAATGAACACCTTTGTTGTTCTAAATAGACCTTTAAAATTTGGCACGGAGAAAGGAGACAGCATAAAGAAGTGTCTTTTCTTCAGCCCATGGAATTTCAACCAGGCTTTAGTAGAGCTACAAACTGTTAAAAATCGTTATTTCCCTTAAGATGATTGCACTGATCAAGAAAATGTTCACAGCATAGCCAAATAATATCTGAACACACTCTAAAAAGCCAGGACCAGACAACCAGATACAGAGCAGCAGTTTACACGGCAACAGAAACTCCTGGGTACTGCAGAGCACTTGCTGCAATAGGAAAAGAATGAGAGCAGGACCAGATGAAATACGCATTGCTTTATTCTTATTCCTATCGCGTGCAGGTAATTGAGCTGGCTCTGTGCTCTGGGTCTGAAGTCTAGGGACTGTTCCTGGTGAGTAAGCCAGCCCGGCTTTTTTGAAGCACTCAGCTGGCGGGTAGCGTGGCCACACAGGTGCTGCGGAGCGTGGGGAACAAGATGCTTCAAAGCGCAGCGCAAGCCTGCCAGCTGTCCCGGGACGGGCAGGAGCGGTTTCTGCTCCGGGCACCTTCCCGACGGGACTCACGACGCGCCCGCACAGGCGGGTTCCCGGCACGGACTCAGTTGCCCGGGGGAGGAGGGGTCCCTGCCGCGCCCCAGCAGGAGGACGCGACTCCACGCTCCCGGGGCAGGGGCCTGCCTCCCTCAACCCCAGCTGCACCAACTCATGCTCTTGAGGTCTCTGCCAACCCTATGATTCTGTGATTCTTTCTGATTGGTTCTTCTCTTCTCCTCTCCCCTCACTGGCATGGGTTCTTTTCACAAAGGCAGGGGGGGAAGCCAGACACCATAGACCCCCGTGTCCCACCATGCCCTCAAGGTTGAAAGGCCCTCAAGCTGTCATCTTATTCATAGTTTTGTCCTTGTCAGAGTCTCTAGGTGAGGGAGGAGCCCTAGTTTATACAAGCAAAATATAAAAGCAATTGTTTCTCTGTTAATCAAGAGATCAGGTATAAGCTGTTCCCATTTCATTCTGCCACATTCCAGATTGTTCTATAGAGAACATGATTTCTATTTAAAATGAAAATGCCAGGTATTTCTACATAATTGGTTTTACAATGTCTGGTAGTAAATGAAGATTTGTACAGAAGCTAAAAATATTTAAAATCTTGAAACTCTAATGATGCCAAACATGACAGAAATGAAAGCTTGGGATGTACTTGAAGTGTGTGGTTCTAATTTCAGCCATGATGGACGGATTACTCATCTCTGACAAGCCAAGTATCAGCTAACAGAACAATTCCTGAAATCAGTTCAGAAATATATCAGTTTGCTCTACCGAACTGTGCTGGCTAATTTCCAAATTGGTGCAGTTGATAAAAATGATTTTGATGAACTGGCAGTCAGTGCTGGAAGTGTGCATAGTTTCAGTGCTCTACATCATATTACAAACTAGGCTCTAATTACAATGTGACAACGGAGCATGTGGCCCGCAGGCACATATAGCTGCCAGCTGGGCCCCCGCCAGGCACAGGCTGAAGGAGGTGCAACAGTACCAGCCTCTGCTTCATGTCCGCTGGGGGGTAGCTAACATTAGAGCAGTGCTTCCCAACCCTTTTCTATCTATTAACATTTCAGGGACTCCCAAATGATCCATTTTTGCCAGCCTAAGTAAACTCTTCCCACCACTCAAATAGCTTTTGAATGGTTAAAGCATTAGAGATGACATATTAAAAAACGAGAACAAAATGGTAAAAAGTGACTGACCTTTTTCTAAGCCAACTCCAAAGTACAGTCCCAGCTTGTCAGCTTCGGCGTGCGCTGAGGGGCATGCAGACTGCTGGTCCTGGAGTTTCTTTGGCTGCTGTTTGCCCACACTGTTTCCTTGGCTCCTATCCTCCTCCGTCCCCTGCCCATTCACAGAGCAAGGGGGCTCTCATGGCCAAAGAGAGCTCTGGAGTAAGGACATTAAGGATTAGTCGACTATCCAATAACCAAATGCTTATTGGATAGTTGAATC